GATACCGTATTGCGGGTTATTTTTCAGGGGTGTAAAATTTCTCGATTTAGGAGCAACAAAGTATATGAAAAATTTTGGCAGTTTTTATTTAGGCGAATTCTTTAACCCCAATTAAATATTCTAGCGGATACTAAATGGTTGCAGTTAAAAAGTTTCAAAATTGACAAACAAGTGTCTATTGTTATGGTTAAATGATTGTTTTGCCCCCATGAAGTCTTATTTATTGATTATATTTTGATACAGTTAATCAATAGAATACTGGTACTTAGATATTTGTCACAGGTGTACAAACTTCTTGTAAATGTTATGGTTGGTTAGTTACGAAATTGACCGGACCTTTGATGTACTTATTAGATTATAAAATTATCATGAGTGACTTGCAACTCTTATATAGTTTGACACTTATCAATATTAAAGGATAAAATACCTAACAAAGTACCTTACACTCGTATATTGATAATTGTTTTATTATGTAACCAATTAACTAATTAACACCTGACAGCCAATGAACAATGGCCTTTTGCATTTATGTTGTTTAAATTAACATAAACCATTATTTATCTGACAACGGGAAAAAATAGATAGTTTACAAAATGCTTAAGTTATTAGAAAGTACCGAACGTATGCATAAATTTTCGCGGAATTTTAATTTTACGATTTCCCCGTACCCGCCAAATTAAGCTAAAATAAACACCCCGCAAAAATAACCTGCTATACAGTATGATCTCTATGTTTCATCTTATAGAGACATAACTTGGGAATGTTACCAGTGTATGCGGGGAATTTTGATACTGAGGGTCACCAAAAGTGAAGGGAGGGGTAGTACAGATTTTAAGTACAAGTTTAAACTCTTAGAATTTGGGGGCATATAAATATTGAAAATTTGCTGCACAGCCCTGTGTTTTGACCTTTAAATAAAATAGTAGTGAATGTCAACTTTCCATTCTAGGATATAATTTTTCACGAAACTTCATAGTAAAAGTACTTTACAGTTTTAGCCGTAAAGGGAGTTCTATGGGAAATTGCATTGTCTATATTTACAGAAATGCAACCTACAATGTATTAAACAGTAAGTTTCTTGTTTTTTTAATCAAAGAATGTGTATCATATAATGACAGTTTTATGAACTGGCTGTTTCTGTATCGACCATTTTATACATGTAGATTCATGGTCATATGTATTGGCCCTCAGCCCTTCGAGTCTCAGGGCCAATAAGCTAATATAACCTTGAACCTATAACGGGGTCAATACAGAACCAGGCAGTGTTAAAGTATTGAGAAATTTGTAGGGAGTTCAGAGGCGTGTTGAAATCTCCATGGCATTTGGAAGGGGTCTTGAAGTTGGGACTTGAAAAAAATACCAAAATTAAAATTTTTCTTCCAGATCCCTTTAATGGCATAAAATAATCAGTCTCTTAGATCATAAGTATGCTAATCAATATTCATTAAAATTTGATCTTTTTGTCTCACGTGTCAAAAGTCGCAGAATGCAAGACATAGGGATTGCAATCCAGCAGCAGCAATTGCATAAACTATTTGTATATAAAGCTTTATATTTCAGAAGGTAGAAGACTTGGATGCTTTATACCTTGTAGGCAAATGCCTTATATTCTTATATTACCAAGTTTCCTGTCTGTCATATGTCTATTGCCATTTTCATGGTTACGGAACTGCTTGAATACTTTTAGTCCCCAATCATCGAAGTTCAGGTTTGCACTCGTCCGACTGTCTGTCTGTCCATCCTTCAATCCGGCAAATCAGTTTTCCACACTTTTTAGCTCACCTGGCCCAAAGTGAGCTTTTCTGATCACTTGGCGTCCGTCGTCCATCGTCATCCATTAACTTTTACAAAAATCTTCTCCTCTGAAACTGCTAGGCCAAATTTAACCAAACTTGGCCGCAATCATTATTGGGGTAAAAAGAACATAGGGGTAAAATTCAAGTTTTGTCTATTATATTTTGAACTGTTTTAAATAGAGAAAATCTGAAAGGAGCAAAAATATTCAGAATAATGAGCTCTACCAATTGTCCCTTTACGTCAAAACTGTTAGACAAATTCTTACAGGTGTTATCTCCCATAAATAACAAATTTTACCATTTTTGTCTCGCCTTGACGTAGTCAAAAAGCGAGACATAGGTATGCTGTTGTCGGTGGCGGTGGCGGCGTCGTGGTCAACAATGTATTAATTTGTGATTAGGTCTAGTTTATGGTGAACCACTAGTGGTAGGTCAATGATATTTGGTATGCAGTTGTATTAGCATTGGCACATCTCATTGCCATGGAGATTATTTGGCCTCACCCCCTCATTCATGGTCTATTGACTTTGAAACTTTTGCTTAGTTTTCATGTATTAGTTTGTGATTAGGTCAGTTTCAGGAGAACCTTTTGTGGTAGGTCAATGATAATTGGTATGCAGTTGTATAAGCATTAGCACATCTCATTTCCATGGAGAATATTTGGTCCTTACCCCTCAGTCTTAGTCTATTGACTTTGAAACTTTTGCTTAGTTTACATGTATTAGTTTGTGATTAGGTCAGTTTAAGATGAACCACTAATGTTAAGTCAATGATATTCGATGCAAATGTATTGGCATTTGCAAGTTTCATTTCCATGGAGATTATATAACTCCACCCCCTAATTATGGTTCATTGACTTTGAAACTTTTACATAGTTTACAAGTTCATGTTCATGTTTGTGTTTCAGTTTGTTTAAAGGAAACGACTTATGAAAAGTCAATGGTATTTGGTTTGCAGTTGTATTAGCATTGGCACATCTCATTTCCATGGAGATTGTTTAGCCCTGTACCTTCAGTCATGGTTCATTGACTTTGAATATTTGCATAACTTGCATGTTAAAGTATTGCTATTTTAATTTCAACATTTGCATTATCAAAATAACAAATAGGCGAGACATATCTCTGTGTTAACAGTTTATTTTCCAATATTGCCCTTAAATGAGGATTTTTTTACCCTCTTTTGTGTTTTGAGCAAAAACTAAAGAAGACAGAGAGAAACTAAACAGACTGAAAGGTCAGTAATACAAGATCAACAAAATATAGATTTTTGTCATGAAGTCTATATCTCGTCTACAATGTTGGAGAGTGTCCTTTGTTTGATATGCTTATAGACCAAGGTGAGCGACACAGGCTCTTTAGAGCCTCTAGTTTCCTTTGTGCTTGAAGATATTGATTTGATATTTTGGTGTTAAGTTTTATCACGAGCAGTTACAGATCAAATTAAATTTTTTTTTTGGTCGGATGATTTTGTGCAGAGTTATGGTACTTGGACTTTGAAAATTCATGCAAGTAATCAGTTTTTCCCACCTTTTTTCGTCATGCTTGATATTTGGGATATAGTTTACCATGACAAGTTACAGAACAAGGAGATGTGGTATGATTGCCAATGAGACAACTTTCCACCAAAGTTCAAATGAAGTTGATGTAAGCAATTATAGGCAACCGTAAGGCCTTCAACAAACCCATATCATCAGGTCAGCTATAAAAGGCTGTGACATGAAAATATGAAACATTTCAATTGAGAAAAATAACGGCCTAATTTATAACAAAACAGTTTACAAAAAACAAATATGACAAACATGAACCAACGACAACCACTGAACTACAGGCTCCTGATTTGGGACAGGCACATTAAGAATGTGGGGGGTTAAACATGTTTGTGAGCGCTCAACCCTCCCCTGAAACTACACCGCTTAACCGGATAATTTATTTTGTAAGAGTTATCTCCCCAAATACTGTTTTCCTTGTGCGCACTACTCCTTCGCAACAGTAAAAGATTACAACAAATTTATTTCACCAAATTGGTCGTTACATCTTCAGATTATGAGAATAATTTTGAGCAAACAGATCTGAACATTCCATATGAGAGTTATTTCCCTTTATTTATTTGAAATAAGTGAAATGTAATAGTACCTCATAAACAGTTAAGTGATAGAGACCTAATGTCTCTTGATGTGAGGTCCTGGGTCCACCAAAAATAAAATGAGGTCATAGTCAACACTGTATTTCTCGTGTGCACTACTTCTTCGCAACCCTTTTAGATTAAGACAAAATTATTTCACATATTTATTTGTTTTATCCAATGAGATCTTGAGATTCCATATGAGAGTTATTTTCCCTTTTGCATTTGATATAAGTGATATGCATTTGTAACTGGTAAACCATAAGTGCATCACATTTATTTCTGAATTGATTGCAACTGCAAAATATTTGTTCATTGCAATTATAATTGTACTTAACTCTTTTTTTTGTGTTTTTGTTACAGATACAGCCTAAATATGTAACACTCTTATACCATGAAAGATATTTCCTTTGCAGATAGCACATTAGGATGAGTCACATGTAGGTATTTGGTAATTACATTTGTTCACTTAATGTTCTTAAAACTAATTTATAATTTTTGTTTTTGTTAGATACAGCCTAAAAATGTGAGTCCTATACCATGAAAAATGGTTCCATTGAAGTTCAAGAGGATGATGTCGCATGTAGGTATTTGGTCATTACAAATGTTCTTAAAGCTATCATGGCTATGTTTATATGTGTTAGGTAATAAAAATCAGTTTTTCCTGGAATAGCAGGAAACTTTATTACAAATTGGTCTACAATTTCGTCTTTTATGCCTGTTTAAGGGACGATTATGGTATACTGCAGGAATAATTTTACTATATAGTTAAGTGGGCCTAAAATTGGCCAGCGGCTCAAAAAATATTTGGAAATGCTTTAGTTACCATTTTAGGCAACTTTAATTTTTCATAGTTTTGTTGTCATAGCGTTTTAAAATCTGGATCAGAATGCTGTCAACGCATACATTTTTAATGCGGTGATCCTGCAAATAGGATGGATAGTCAATAGAAGAATATCACAATTTATTAATTAACAACGATTCAATTATGTCAACGTTTGGTTAACGATTTAAGCAGCGGAAAGGGACCCCTCAGATACAATTTTTTTTTGCAGCTTATTTACAGCTGATATTAATTTCTAGTTTTTGTTAAAGATGCTGCACTCCTAGACGGAGAAGATGGTAACTTCATGGTAGATAGCACATGAGGAGGAGTCGCATGTAAGTATTTGGTCATTACAATTGTACTTAAAACTATGTTTATATTTGTTAGGTATTAAAAATCAGTTTTTCCTGAAACAAATTGAAGCTTTATAACAAATTGGTCTAAAATTTCTTTTATTCAAATTTATGCTCTAATGATGTATATTTTAATAAGAATGTATAGTAATTGTATATATACTTCTCTCTAATTTAGTATTTAACATAAATCATGCATCACATTAATTTCTGAATTGATTGCAACAGCAAAAAATCTTGATTTAAAGCTGAAACTAATTTATAATTTTTGTTTTTTTTACAGATACAGCCTAAATATGCAACACTCCTATATCGTGAAAGATGCTTTCATTGTAGATCACACATTAGGACGAGTCACATGTAGGTATAAAAATAGAAAATAGGGGTAAAATGCAGTTTTTGGCTTATATCTCAAAAACTAAAGCATTTAGAGGAACTCTGACATGGGGGTAAAAGTGTTCTTGTACGTCGAGAAATATAGCCACTATGGCTAAAATGGAACGTAGGGGTAAAATGCATTTTTTTGCTTTTGAAGAAAATATGACAGATGCAAATAACATTTAAATGGCATTTTTAAGCCACTCATTAATATATATTGAAAAGCAAAAATAATCATTGATGAAAGATTTAAGCAAAACATCACAGGTGAGCGATTCCTGCTCTTGAGAGCCTCTTGTTCTTAAAACTATGTTTATGTTTGTAAGGTAATAAAAATCTGTTTTTCCTGAAACAACAGCCTGAAGCTTTTTAACTAATTTGTCTAAAATTTCCTCTTTTTTTTCAAATTTATACTCTTAAGTAATATATTTATATAAGAATGTTTTGTATTTGTTTTTGTTTTTAGACTTGTTGCCCGGTTAAGGAGTTGACATAAAACATGCATCACATTAATTTCTGAATTAATTGCAACAGCAAAAAGTCTCTATTTAAAGCTGAAACTAATTTAAAGTTTTTGTTTTTGTTAGATACAGCCTAAATATGTGACAGTCCTATACCATGAAGAATAGTTCCATTGAAGTTCAAGAGGATGATGTCGCATGTAGGTATTTGGTCATTACAAATGTTCTTTAAGCTATGTTTATATGTGTTGGGTAATAAAAATCAGTTTTTCCTGGAATAGCAGGAAACTTTATTACAAATTGGTCTACAATTTCGTCTTTTATGCCTGTTTAAGGGACGATTATGGTATACTGCAGGAATAATTTTACTATATAGTTAAGTGGGCCTAAAATTGGCCAGCGGCTCAAAAAATATTTGGAAATGTTTTAGTTACCATTTTAGGCAACTTTAATTTTTCATAGTTTTGTTGTCATAGCGTTTTAAAATCTGGATCAGAATGCTGTCAACGCATACATTTTTAATGCGGTGATCCTGCAAATAGGATGGATAGTCAATAGAAGAATATCACAATTTATTAATTAACAACGATTCAATTATGTCAACGTTTGGTTAACGATTTAAGCAGCGGAAAGGGACCCCTCAGATACAATTTTTTTTTGCAGCTTATTTACAGCTGATATTAATTTCTAGTTTTTGTTAAAGATGCTGCACTCCTAGACGGAGAAGATGGTAACTTCATGGTAGATAGCACATGAGGAGGAGTCGCATGTAAGTATTTGGTCATTACAATTGTACTTAAAACTATGTTTATATTTGTTAGGTATTAAAAATCAGTTTTTCCTGAAACAAATTGAAGCTTTATAACAAATTGGTCTAAAATTTCTTTTATTCAAATTTATGCTCTAATGATGTATATTTTAATAAGAATGTATAGTAATTGTATATATACTTCTCTCTAATTTAGTATTTAACATAAATCATGCATCACATTAATTTCTGAATTGATTGCAACAGCAAAAAATCTTGATTTAAAGCTGAAACTAATTTATAATTTTTGTTTTTTTTACAGATACAGCCTAAATATGCAACACTCCTATATCGTGAAAGATGCTTTCATTGTAGATCACACATTAGGACGAGTCACATGTAGGTATAAAAATAGAAAATAGGGGTAAAATGCAGTTTTTGGCTTATATCTCAAAAACTAAAGCATTTAGAGGAACTCTGACATGGGGGTAAAAGTGTTCTTGTACGTCGAGAAATATAGCCACTATGGCTAAAATGGAACATAGGGGTAAAATGCATTTTTTTGCTTTTGAAGAAAATATGACAGATGCAAATAACATTTAAATGGCATTTTTAAGCCACTCATTAATATATATTGAAAAGCAAAAATAATCATTGATGAAAGATTTAAGCGAAACATTACAGGTGAGCGATTCCTGCTCTTGAGAGCCTCTTGTTCTTAAAACTATGTTTATGTTTGTTAGGTAATAAAAATCAGTTTTTCCTGAAACAACAGCCTGAAGCTTTATAACTAATTTGTCTAAAATTTCCTCTTTTTTTTCAAATTTATACTCTTAAGTAATATATTTATATAAGAATGTTTTGTATTTGTTTTTAGACTTGTTGCCCGGTTAAGGAGTTGACATAAAACATGCATCACATTAATTTCTGAATTAATTGCAACAGCAAAAAGTCTCTATTTAAAGCTGAAACTAATTTAAAGTTTTTGTTTTTGTTAGATACAGCCTAAATATGTGACAGTCCTATACCATGAAGAATAGTTCCATTGAAGTTCAAGAGGATGATGTCGCATGTAGGTATTTGGTCATTACAAATGTTCTTTAAGCTATGTTTATATGTGTTAGGTAATAAAAATCAGTTTTTCCTGGAATAGCAGGAAACTTTATTACAAATTGGTCTACAATTTCGTCTTTTATGCCTGTTTAAGGGACGATTATGGTATGCTGCAGGAATAATTTTACTTTATAGTTAAGTGGGCCTAAAATTGGCAGACAGCCCAAAAAAATATTTGGAAATGTTTTAGTTACCATTTTAGGCAACTTTAATTTTTTCATAGTTTTGTTGTCATAGCGTTTTAAAATCTGGATCAGAATGCTGTCAACGCATCCATTTTTAATGCGGTGATCCTGCAAATAGGATGGATAGTCAATAGAAGAATATCACAATTTATTAATTAACAACGATTCAATTATGTCAACGTTTGGTTAACGATTTAAGCAGCGGAAAGGGACCCCTCAGATACAATTATTTTTTGCTATGACGCCTTCTATCGACAGCAAAAAATAAAGTAGACTTTCAAATCGTCATTATTAATTGGACTATTGTTAAAGCAGATCGCCCAGCAGTTGGATAAAAGATGCTTTATGTCAAAATGGGTCTCGTAAAAGCAGACCTCCCCAGAGAGCAAACTTTAGATTTTGATGTAACATTGATGAATTTAATGGGCGCTGATCTCGTAAAAGCAGATCACCCAGCAGAGCCGGTTATATAATATGATGAAAACTTGTTTTATAGTAAAAAGTATTTAATTTTATGTCAGGCTCTATTTCATTATCAACCAATTTGAAACTTTATTACAAATTGGTCTAAAAAAAAAATTTCTTCAAATTTATACTCTAATGAAGTATATTCTTATGAGAATTATAGTAATTATAAATATTCATGTCCAACATGCAAAAGATTAAATTCTGAATTAATTGCAACAGCAAATAGTCTCTATTTACAGCTGATATTAATTTCTAGTTTTTGTTAAAGATGCTGCACTCCTAGACGGAGAAGATGGTAACTTCATGGTAGATAGCACATGAGGAGGAGTCGCATGTAAGTATTTGGTCATTACAATTGTACTTAAAACTATGTTTATATTTGTTAGGTATTAAAAATCAGTTTTTCCTGAAACAAATTGAAGCTTTATAACAAATTGGTCTAAAATTTCTTTTATTCAAATTTATGCTCTAATGATGTATATTTTAATAAGAATGTATAGTAATTGTATATATACTTCTCTCTAATTTAGTATTTAACATAAATCATGCATCACATTAATTTCTGAATTGATTGCAACAGCAAAAAGTCTTGATTTAAAGCTGAAACTAATTTATAATTTTTGTTTTTTTTACAGATACAGCCTAAATATGCAACACTCCTATATCGTGAAAGATGCTTTCATCGTAGATCACACATTAGGACGAGTCACATGTAGGTATTTGGTCATTACAATTTTTGAGCTCACCTTTCCGAAGGAAAAGTGAGCTTTTGCCATCACTTGGCGTCCGTCGTCGTCGTCCGTCTGGTGTAAACTATTTCAAAAATCTTCTCCTCTGAAACTACTGAACCAATTCGAACCAAACTTAAGCTGAATGATCCTTAGGGTATCTAGAATTAAGTTTGTGTTTTATTTTCTGTTTCGTCAAAAAACATGGCCAACATGGTTAAAAATAGAAAATAGGGGTAAAATGCAGTTTTTGGCTTATATCTCAAAAACTAAAGCATTTAGAGGAACTCTGACATGGGGGTAAAAGTGTTCTTGTACGTCGAGAAATATAGCCACTATGGCTAAAATGGAACGTAGGGGTAAAATGCATTTTTTTGCTTTTGAAGAAAATATGACAGATGCAAATAACATTTAAATGGCATTTTTAAGCCACTCATTAATATATATTGAAAAGCAAAAATAATCATTGATGAAAGATTTAAGCAAAACATCACAGGTGAGCGATTCCTGCTCTTGAGAGCCTCTTGTTCTTAAAACTATGTTTATGTTTGTAAGGTAATAAAAATCTGTTTTTCCTGAAACAACAGCCTGAAGCTTTTTAACTAATTTGTCTAAAATTTCCTCTTTTTTTTCAAATTTATACTCTTAAGTAATATATTTATATAAGAATGTTTTGTATTTGTTTTTGTTTTTAGACTTGTTGCCCGGTTAAGGAGTTGACATAAAACATGCATCACATTAATTTCTGAATTAATTGCAACAGCAAAAAGTCTCTATTTAAAGCTGAAACTAATTTAAAGTTTTTGTTTTTGTTAGATACAGCCTAAATATGTGACAGTCCTATACCATGAAGAATAGTTCCATTGAAGTTCAAGAGGATGATGTCGCATGTAGGTATTTGGTCATTACAAATGTTCTTTAAGCTATGTTTATATGTGTTGGGTAATAAAAATCAGTTTTTCCTGGAATAGCAGGAAACTTTATTACAAATTGGTCTACAATTTCGTCTTTTATGCCTGTTTAAGGGACGATTATGGTATACTGCAGGAATAATTTTACTATATAGTTAAGTGGGCCTAAAATTGGCTGGCGGCCCAAAAAATATTTGGAAATGTTTTAGTTACCATTTTAGGCAACTTTAATTTTTTCATAGTTTTGTTGTCATAGCGTTTTAAAATCTGGATCAGAATGCTGTCAAGGCATACATTTTTAATGCGGTGATCCTGCAAATAGGATGGATAGTCAATAGAAGAATATCACAATTTATTAATTAACAACGATTCAATTATGTCAACGTTTGGTTAACGATTTAAGCAGCGGAAAGGGACCCCTCAGATACAATTATTTTTTGCTATGACACCTTCTATCGACAGCAAAAAATAAAGTAGACTTTCAAGACGTCATTATTAATTGGACTATTGTTAAAGCAGATCGCCCAGCAGTTGGATAAAAGATGCTTTATGTCAAAATGGGTCTCGTAAAAGCAGACCTCCCCAGAGAGCAAACTTTAGATTTTGATGTAACATTGATGAATTTAATGGGCGCTGATCTCGTAAAAGCAGATCACCCAGCAGAGCCGGTTATATAATATGATGAAAACTTGTTTTATAGTAAAAAGTATTTAATTTTATGTCAGGCTCTATTTCATTATCAACCAATTTGAAACTTTATTACAAATTGGTCTAAAAAAAAATTTTCTTCAAATTTATACTCTAATGAAGTATATTCTTATGAGAATTATAGTAATTATAAATATTCTTGTCCAACATGCAAAAGATTAAATTCTGAATTAATTGCAACAGCAAATAGTCTCTATTTACAGCTGATATTAATTTCTAGTTTTTGTTAAAGATGCTGCACTCCTAGACGGAGAAGATGGTAACTTCATGGTAGATAGCACATGAGGAGGAGTCGCATGTAAGTATTTGGTCATTACAATTGTACTTAAAACTATGTTTATATTTGTTAGGTATTAAAAATCAGTTTTTCCTGAAACAAATTGAAGCTTTATAACAAATTGGTCTAAAATTTCTTTTATTCAAATTTATGCTCTAATGATGTATATTTTAATAAGAATGTATAGTAATTGTATATATACTTCTCTCTAATTTAGTATTTAACATAAATCATGCATCACATTAATTTCTGAATTGATTGCAACAGCAAAAAGTCTTGATTTAAAGCTGAAACTAATTTATAATTTTTGTTTTTTTTACAGATACAGCCTAAATATGCAACACTCCTATATCGTGAAAGATGCTTTCATCGTAGATCACACATTAGGACGAGTCACATGTAGGTATTTGGTCATTACAATTTTTGAGCTCACCTTTCCGAAGGAAAAGTGAGCTTTTGCCATCACTTGGCGTCCGTCGTCGTCGTCCGTCTGGTGTAAACTATTTCAAAAATCTTCTCCTCTGAAACTACTGAACCAATTCGAACCAAACTTAAGCTGAATGATCCTTAGGGTATCTAGAATTAAGTTTGTGTTTTATTTTCTGTTTCGTCAAAAAACATGGCCAACATGGTTAAAAATAGAAAATAGGGGTAAAATGCAGTTTTTGGCTTATATCTCAAAAACTAAAGCATTTAGAGGAACTCTGACATGGGGGTAAAAGTGTTCTTGTACGTCGAGAAATATAGCCACTATGGCTAAAATGGAACGTAGGGGTAAAATGCATTTTTTTGCTTTTGAAGAAAATATGACAGATGCAAATAACATTTAAATGGCATTTTTAAGCCACTCATTAATATATATTGAAAAGCAAAAATAATCATTGATGAAAGATTTAAGCAAAACATCACAGGTGAGCGATTCCTGCTCTTGAGAGCCTCTTGTTCTTAAAACTATGTTTATGTTTGTAAGGTAATAAAAATCTGTTTTTCCTGAAACAACAGCCTGAAG